CCCTGTAAGAGGCAAATCTGGAAACATGGCCACACCCCTTCCATTTCTCATGCCCTTACATAATGTGTCTCTGTCATCTCCTCAGTCTAGAGAGGAAGCTGAATTTTCCTTCCCATAAATCTGGCTTGACCAACAGGATGTGACAGAAGTGACATCCTGGAATGTTCAATGTCCTCGACCTTAAGAATCCTTGTGATGTCTGTCTAGGTCTCTAGGAATGTTCTCCTTGGGACACTGCTATTCAGAACCAGCTGCAGCGCTTTGAGGAGACCCATTCCCAGAGAAAGTTAGGTGTGACAGGCTGCAGTCAACAGCCACAGGTGATCTGCTGTCAACAGATGGCATCAGCTGCCAGCCACGTGAGGGAGCTACCTCAGATGTCCAGCTCAGTGGAGCTTTCAAACAGAAGCAGCTGACCTCTCCAAGCAACTGCCTGAGAGTTTCAAACAAAAATACCCAGAACCATGACAGATAACAAGTTGTTCTTCTAAGCCACTGAATTTACATGTGGCTTCTTAAGCAATTATAGAAAATCAAAGTGTTTGATGGGTCCTGTGATAGACACAGGGTATTTGAGCTGTTTGGAAGACACCACGTGGAGATGTTCCAGAGCTACCTGGAGAGATCTCACAAAGCTGACGTCTGGAGCTCATGGCAAAGTCCCAGCTGCATCTTTGTATTGGGGAGCACGTGGGATGTGCCGTAGCACAAGGCACAGAGATTGCAGCTGAGGCCAGGCGAGTAGGGGAGAACCGAGAGCATTTCTACTCCGAAAACAGCAGAGTCCTGAGCAACACAGTGCTTAGGGATCAGGCAGAAGAGGAAAGTCAATGAAACAAACAGAGACGTCACCGCCAAAAAGTCGGGAAGAAAGCCCAGGTGAATGCGCATCGTAGAGCCCACACAAAAAGAATATTTCAAAGAGGAGGCCTAGGTCATTTATTAGGTGATACTGAGAAGTCAAAACAAGAAGAGTCTCAAGACAGAAGAGTCTTCACGGACGCTCCAGGCACCGCCGTAGTAACGCCGGAAGTCACCAGGGGCCACGAGAGGTGCGCTGAGGAGTCAGCAGAAAGCAGCAGCGACCAGCCTCTACCGGGGGGGAAGGAAGACAAAGAAATGAAGAGTGTGCGCACACTGTGTCCGGGAAGGCGGGCCGCACGCGCGGGAGAGAAGGAGCAGGTGGATCTGGGGTAGCAGACAGAGTCAAGGATTTTTCTTCTAAAGACATGAGAGGCTTCAGATAATCACAGGTCGACTGGAAGGTGGCAGCAAAGTGGGAGAATTCTGAAGCTACATTTGGATTCAAGGATACTCATGGAGAGGTTAATCTTATCTACTGAGAGAAAAACGGTGAAAAGACACCTCCAGACAGACCCGGGGGTGCGGATGTGTTTACGGGAAATTAAAAGAACTTTCTCCAAAGGTCTCCACGCAGTTGTTGTTGTTGTTGTTGAATAATGTGTGAGGTCATCTGTGGAGAGAGCTGAGGGACGAGTTGTGAGCATGGCAGGAAGGTCTGGCCTAAGCGTTGAGCATCGTGGGGGAGAGTTTGTAAGAAAAATCAGGTCAGGCTGCCAGACTTGGTTGAAGCTGGTGGTTCAAGAGAGAACTATTATGATTCCCTCTTTACAGGTATTATTATTCTCTCTTTACATGTGAGGAAATGGAGGCTCAAAGAGGTTAAGTAACTTGCTTGAGGTTACAAAGCAAATAAGCAAGGGAACTAGGATTCGAATATAGGCCTGTGTGATTCTTTGCAGTACATTAGGCTGAATGAATTCCTTGGTCAGCAGAATAATTTTGGTTTCTGAAAAGAGACTGGTGTTTGGGAAAGTAACGCTTGACTCTTACCTATTTTGTTACTTTGTCCACTTATACCCGTTTTAGTTACGACCCCACATCTGACAGTTTCTCTGAAATCTGTAGTCAAAGGAGGTCTCAGGAATCGTCAGGAAAGCATCAAAGCATATAACGAAATTCTTCTCTGAAATACTACATGGCATTTAGAAGCTTTAGTTCAGTATGAACTTAAAAGCAAGCAGGGAGTTTCCTGAACGCTCAACACCATGATTAGGCCATGAAACATTGAAGAAAGAGTAAAACAGGACACATAAATAAGAAACCTGTCAGCAGGTGTTGTGGGGAATCTCGTTATGTGCCCACGGTCAATTCCTGTGAACTCCCCTTAGAGTTCTAAGGGGTCCTCAGGGTTATAATCCACAATCTCTAAAGAGCTGATGTGATCTGATTCTCTGGACAGTTTAAAAAACAGAAGCAGTGGGTGAGGATGCATGGGCCCTGCAGGTTCTTCAGGGAGGCTGAAAAGCAGGGTCTTAAGGGTCTCCTCCCAGCTAGAGCCCCCCCCACCCCCACCCTGGCACCCGAGGTAAGCATGCAAGACACACCCTAATATCCCTTTACTTGGAAAACTGCAAATAAGAATTCTCCACAATGACAGGGCTTGGGGCCACATGAGACATCATAAAGAAGACAAGAAGTGGCTATTGTGGAAATGATACTTGGGGCAAGATCTGAGACAGCCTTCTTTCCATAAAGAGAAATTTTCATTAGTTCCCTTGTCCAGCTGGCAGGCTGGAAGGTGAGTTGGTCTCCAATCTGCCTATCTCATCCCCGGGCATCTGTTAGCTCTCCTTCCCGGGGAGGCCAGGAGGAAGGATCATCATTTACACACAGAAGCATCTGTTGTCTCACACAACAGCTGTGCGCGGTGCACGCTACAGGCATGCAGGGACTTCAGGTGCTTTGAGCAGGAGCAGAGCTTCTGCAACTGTGGACCACGATCTTCTGTAGATTGTTAAATTATTTGAATGAGTTTTAACTAGTATTTAACTAGAGTAAAATTGAACACAAAGAGTAGGGTGCAATTCACAAAATGTGCATAAGTATTATCTGGGGAAATGCATTTCAGACACATAGGGTCTGCCTAGCTGGGACTAGAGGTGACATATTTCTCATGGCAGTCATGGTGAGCAGTTCAGAAGTCACTCTTTTGAAAAGCTCCAGCTCCACAGAGATTTCTGAAGCCATATTTATGGGATGTTTCCAAACATCATGTAAGTCGATAGCTGGCAGGATCTAGAGTCTTCTAGGGATGACTAAAATTTTCTTGCAGATCTGAACTACTAAGCACCTCTTCCAAGGTTATAAAGCAAATAGGCAAAGCAGCCAGGATTTGAGAATAGGCATTAGTGAGCTGGGGAATGTTGATTCTGAGCAGGGGATTTTCCCGGCGAACTCCAGGAACCAGCACAGAGGCTACGGGAGGCTCTGAGGCCACAGCTTCTTAGTATTGGGCTTTTCAGCTACTGTGAACTGAATGGACACACTCTATTTTTTCATTTTTATCACAATAAGAGGTTAGGATGTTTTAAAGCCAATAAAATGTCTACAACAAGCATTTTTCTCTTTTGTGTAAATAAGTCCCCCACCTGTGTGGTTGATCCCTGCCACTGGGCCACTTACAGACACCATCGCCCTAAGAGACAGCCTCAGTGGGTGCTGCATGGGGTGGGGGGTAGTGACAACACCCGAGGTGGGTGATCCTGTACCTCTAAATCACACACAATGTTGTAAACCAATATTTCCTTAATAATGGAAAGTCTAAATTTCAATCTACATAAACCCAAAATAGATAAACTTAATTTCTACAGTTACTTGGCATGTTCAGGTGTGTGTTATCAGTGTATAAGAAATTAAGCAACCGTTAAAAATAGTCAGACTTCACTTCATTGAAACTTCACACCAACAGTTTCAATCAGGAAAAGCTTGTCTTTGTTCCTCTTCACTCGGCTGTGCAGGGACAGTCACTGTCCTCACGTGTGGTGACATGTCTGTCACCAGCTGACAGTTTTCTGGGTTGTGGGGAACTTTGCATAGAAAGGCTCTGCACAGAGGTGGGCGTGGGGAGTTTATTATTACTATGAGAATCTAATGTCTCATGAAGTTCCTCAATTCCCTAAGAAGTGTCATAAAGTATTGCAAAAATAAAACAGAAGATGGGAGAAGAACCAAGAAAAGGCAAAAGTGTGAATCACAATAAGTGGGCAGAATAAGAGTATAGAAAGAAATAAACACGCACTGAAGACATATCATTGCTTCTCTCTGATCTGGCCAAGAATCTAGCAGCTGAAGATGTAGGCAATGGCCGCCAAGGCAGAATGCAAGCACACTTAGAGAAGAGAAACAAGGAGGAAAGAGAGGAGGGACATCCTTCAGGGCAAACAATATATTTATCAGAAAAAAACAATCCTGACCAGTTACTTTGAGATATAAAGTTTTATGACATTTTGCAAAAAAAGCCAGGGGATGCCAAAAACCAAGATCTATATTCATGCACACACAACATATCAAAATAATAGACTGCTATATATAATACATTTATAGGTACGTACATTGTCCATACGTACACTTGTACATTTTTCTGGGCATCTGACATTGGAAAAACAAAATATAGCATTCTCCAAACTCTTAAATTCCATTTTCAAATCATAGTCAATTGATATGAAAATCTGATAGTTCACAGTGCAAACTTTTAAAGGTTTAGAAAGGGCAACCAGGGGGAAGGTCAATAAATTATAATCCTGTGATGTGTTTTGTATTTAAAGGCTTTCATAACAAAATTAATAGAGTATCCCAAGTCTACATACTCATTGAGAGGAAGAAAGCTTAAAATACCCAAGGTGATATAAAAGCCGATGCACTGCATTATAATCTAAAAATAAAGTGAAATACACACTGGCAGGAGGGAAAGACAAAAAGCCCAGCTTTCATATTAGAAGGCAGAAAACTGTATTATTCCCATAATAAAAACGTGAAGTGTCAATTTTTCAACTCAATAATAAAAAACACTCATTAAAAGACGCTATTTCTAATTTCAAGACCTTTCTCTCCCCTGTATACAGCTGCATGTAAGAGGTAAAATGGATTTATGGAAAAGGGATATTATAAGCAAGGAACAGGACACATAATCCCCTTACCGTTGTCGCCAGAAGGCAATGACACAGTGTTGGTTGGCATGGTATCAGAATTCACTTTTCCATTCTCAAATGTATCATTTTCACTCTGCTGTAACTGCCAGTTGAGGCCAAAGAGATGCATTGCTGGGGATAAAGCATAGAAGTTGTTTAAAAGTCTCTGCTTCAAGCTGTAGTAGCAAATGGTAAGCATGTTTATAATGAGAGTCACATGTAAAGTTACATTTGCCATATTTGGAAATACCAAGGAAAATTGCAAAATAAAAATTATAAAATAAAAAGCTCCTTCAATGCAATTTATGAAGCAATGCAGCACCACATGCCACATTTTAATAATGATTTGATATTCCAGTGAATTGGTACCAGGAAACTCAGGAATGAATCATTACTTGCTCTGCTTTGTCCCAGTTCCACTGTTTACCATCATCTGACTGAGCAGTAGAATGTCCACAGCAGCACTTGCCAGACTAACTGGGCCACACTTACCTGCACGTGTAAAATACTCTGTTGCAACCTCTATGTTTTTTCAAGAAGAGACCATGGTGTTCATTTGGATTAAGGTAAAAAGCAAAAACTGGTCTCATAGAAGAATTTCTTGGCATCTGAAATGATCAGAATGGATTCGGGTGCACAAATGTAATATTTGAATCTTCTGAACTGAAGATGAATGGTCACAAGTTTAATGATTTTCTTTCTTTAAAATAGTTAAAAGTAGAAAACAAGAAGGCGATCTAATTATAGACTTATAGACATAGTATAATAAAAATTTTACATATATTGTTGTTTCTTAATTTATTTAAAATATTTAGAAGGATAATCACCATCATATTCACCATTAACACTTCTAAGCCTTCACTTGTGTTCTAGAGAATATCATTTAGCAGTTAATCTCTAAGGAAGACTAATCATCATTAGGGGAACCCAGTGATGGTCTTATTACCACAGTATAACTGAGAATTTGGCATTATTTGCTCACTATACATACTGGAATATACCAGAAAGGTGGATAGCGACTTGTGTTAGAAACACATTGTTGGAGACAGTGTGATAAGCCTTTATTAAATATCTAATATATGCAGAAACAAAATTAATTGTGTAGTGATCACTGTTTTGGCTGTGGCTAGATTTTGGTTCAACTTTCAATCTAGGATTTAACCTTGGACAGATGATGTAATTTTGTCCAACATAAGGTTTACCTTAAAAACGACGCTGATTAAACCTACCTGACTTAATTGATCTGCACTTCCTAGACAATATAGATCAAGGGTATCTGTCATATAGCAGGGCAGTTGTTGACCTAGAGGTATTTCATATCTTGATTCTGTCCTCCGGATGACAGAACTTTCTGGAATCACCTGAGCGAGCAGATCATGGTACTCCTCAATAATTCCTTGTGTGTGCAATGGTCTCTGCCTGCTGCAAAGACCTTCCACTTCTTGGGGAAGCCTTTCCTGAGCGGGTTAAGTGTTTCTCCCAGAGCAGATTTAGTGCAATTTAGTGCACTTTTAAGTGTGTCTCATTTACCTTTTACAGTGCTCAATTATGTCAGATCAGTCTCAATAAGTACCTATCACTTAAATAAATTAAATTTTCTGAGGTTTTAAAATCCAAGATAACACTGTTGTGGCTAAAAATGTAGTGATTTCAAGGAAGAGTGAATAAATATAAGACAAATACCTAAATAGAATGGCATGTTATATTATTAATAATTAATAACTGCCTTAGTGACATGCTCTATGCAAAGCAGCTGAATGAAAACCCACTGGTACTATATACAATTGATTGAATTTTTAAAAAGATGCCTAAATTCTGGGACATTCTATTACTAGTTTCACATTCTTTTGTTAACAATATATGATATGAATTTTGCTGTAGTAAAAAAAACAGCCCAAGCACGGTTACAAACCCAGTACATCTACCCCCTGTATTTGTAACGAATGTAAATACTCACACTCCCTACTTAAATGACAGGTTGCCTGCCATTCCCTTTAAACACTTATTTTGTTCACAGATTAGGATATAGGTTATAGAATTGTGAATTTATAAATTGTCAACTTGCAAAAGAGGTATAACTTAAAATGTCATTAAATTATGTAGTGTCTGAGTACAAAATGTCAGGAACTTTCTAAACATTTATCACTTCATACATTTCCCCCCCAAGTTTCAGAGACTGCGGCAAGTTTTGAATAAAGTAACGGGAACTATTAGGAAAAGGTTTGACAGACATACTTGGGCAGAGTGATGATGAATATTTCAATGGGGCGAAGTTGCTAGACACAAAATAACTTTCATCATTGTGAGCTTTTATGAAACATGAAAAGCCTCTTGGATGATATCTTTGCACAGATTTCTGACTTTAATAACTTTGAAGAGCAGGCTACTCTGGGGTGGGGCACAGATGTCAAATGTTACAGCTTGATGTTTGTATTTGGAATACTAGTTTATATTTTTCCAGTTGGGCAACAGTTTTTTATTTTTTTTTAAAGAAAATCTCAATAAAATGGGATGCTATCTCCACTGAAGATGTTGTGTAATGAGAACCCTATCTGATAATTTATCTTGTTTAACGCTGCACTGAAGACAGAAAAACAAGTTTGCTTGGTCTTAGGATATCATGTACTTGGAAAATGTTGGCATTTCGTATTTAGTGAAGCTCCTGACACTCATTTTGTGTAATTTAAGATTTTTATACAAATACAGGGAATTAGTGAGATTGACTGTGAAGTTAATGGAGGGGTGCAGCAAACTAATAAAAATCAACAACACTGCAGACATTACTGAGGGCTGGGGTCATAAAACGACATAGGATGACTTGGCTAACAAATAAAGGGGGGATTAGTGAATTAAAATGCATGTGTAAATAAGGAAAGATGAGCCCAGTTCTTCAGTGCCTGAGCTGGAAGCAGACTGACATCCAAGAAGGGAAATCCTTTGTGACCACTACTCATGAACAGGACAGGGAGCCTTGGCTCATGGCAGGTGTGAAAAGAGTAGGAAGCAGGGGCTGGGAGCTCTGGATTTTTCCGTGGGCCGCAGCGCTCAGGTGCAGAGCTTAGGTGACCTGTAGAGCAGGTAGAAACCAGGCATCCTCTCAGCCACAGGCAGTGTTCCTTGTGTTGCAGAGAGAACACTGTGACAAGGTATTTTTTTAAAAAATAAAACATGGGTTTAACACTTACTATATTAACTCACTTAATCTTCACGAAGACCCCACAGAACAGTTACTATTTTTATTTTCACTTTAAACCAGAGAAAACTGAGGCTTTAACTTCCAAGTCAGTAAGTAGTAGACCTTGACCTTAAACCCAGACCTTCTGATAACAAAAGGCTTTCGACTTCCCGCCTCTCTATTCTACCAGAGGGCAGTGGAGTACCCACTATCTAGTCCTAAAAGAAATGTTTCCAGTCGTATTATGACGACTGTAAAGTGAAAAACAGGTTACTATGGTTAATTCCAAGAGTATTAAAAGCAACACTTTAAAAATTATAACCCAATACATTTATAATCCAATAAATTATAGCATACAACAGACAAAACTAAACCCAAATAAACTCTAAATAATCCGACTGTAGAACTGAGGTTATTAGAGGGGAAATGTCGGGGGGTGGGGAGCAGAGAGAGAGGGATCTTTGGTGGGGGATCGTGGTTGCTTTGGTGGTGAGAGTGGTGTGGTGACGCATATCTGAAGAGGTGGGAACCGGTATCCCTAGACCATGTACAGTGCTGTAAACCAATGATACCTCTCTAACAAATGTTACAGGAAAAAATTACAGTCATACAGTGGAATTCTACACAGCAATGTAAATGTACGTATCACTGCCAGATGTAATAATATGGCAACACCTCACAAAAGCAAGAGTGAGCAAGGGAACCCATACACCAAAAAAATGTGAATCCGGTGTAAGCCCAAGTGTATAAAGTTCAAAAGCACATAAAATCAACTGGTAAAAACACAAGTCCCCTGAGTGATGCCCCTGGAGAGGCCGGGGCAGGTAATGAGGAAGAGACTCCACAGGGGGCGCCTCGAGGGTTTGATAACTAGAATAAAAGCATCCTGTCTTCTCCCTCTACAAAGGGATGTTATCACATCACATCCACCAAATAGTTCTTATACAGTGAGCAGCATTCCTTCTGTAACCTCTTAGTTTTTATTTTCTCTAGGCTTTCCCAGTAATTGAAGTCATTTCCTCATTAATTGAAATGATTTTGAGCCAACAGGCCAGGAAAGGTCTATCAATACAACTCTATGAAGAAATTTTCTTTCAGGCTCAAAGATCATTCAAGTGAGAGAAATTACAGCATACACCCCAACATTCCTTTTATTCTTCAAGGCGGCTGGAGATGAAAGGAATCCGCGGTGTTATGGTTGTTTTACCTCCTCCCCATTGGAGAAAAGAACATGTCATTGTTTTTAACCAATCTATGTTGGTTCGATACTAAAAGTCAGCATGTGGAACACTTGAAACCAAAATGTACAATTAAAGAAAATTATATACCACCAAGTAGCAAATTCTGTGCCATTTTTAGCTCCATGTGGAGAGACGGGGTGCCCAATTCTCATCTTGTCCCTGGGGACCATGCCACTGAAGTTGTTATCACAGCTACTATTATTTCTCCTGGCATGCCCGTGTCCTCCAATGCTGCCAACTATGGATGGGAAAGAGGGTGGTGACAGCTGTTGCCATGGGCCAGCAGGCTGCCAGAACCTTGGAGGAAATTACAGGGGATGTTGTGAAGAGAACTCAGAACAGGCACCCTTGCCATGGAAGCCCGAAGGCAGCCGCGGCCCCCAGAAGCCTGAGGCGCACACTCTTGAGTTTTTGGCAACTCAGAATACAGTTCCTAGCAGGCCTGCCATTATTGGCTAACTGCTGTTTAATATTACAAGATCAAGCAAACATTCTCACAAGGACGAGAAGAGAACATATGAAAACCCGATCCTGGTAAGAAAAACTCACTTAAAAAATATCATCCCCAAGTGCCTGCAATTCAGTTTTGTTTATTCTTCCAAACCTTCAAAGTTCATGTAAGCAAGTGAAGGTCTAAAGTTTCCCTTTCTTGTAATTCACACCCATCTTGGTACATTTCCCCCAAAACTGGCTTTCTGAGAAAATTCATTAAGAAC